AAGAGTGAAAGACATCAACACTCCACTTTCAGCATTAGCCAGATCTTCCAGATAGAAAATCAACAAAGAAACATGAGACTTAACCCGCACTACAGACAAAATGGATCTAATAGATATTTACAGAATACTTCATCCAAGACCTGCAGAATACACATTCCTTTTCTTAGCACATGGATCATTCTCAGGACAGACCATATGTTAGGTCACAAAACAAGTCTTAAAACATTTTTAAAAATTGAAATAATATCAAGTATCTTCTCTGACCACGATGGAATAAAACTAAAAATTAATAACAAGAGAAATTTTGGAAACTATACAAATATATGGAAATTAAACAATATGTTTCTGAGTAACCACTGGTTCAAAAAGGAATTAAGAAGAAAATTTAAAAATTTCTTGAAACAAATGATAATGGAAACATAATGCCAAAACCTATGGGATACAGCAAAAACAGTACTCAGAGGGAAATTTATAGCTAAAAGTGCCTACCTTTAAAAAGAGGAAAAACTTCAAATGAACAATCTAACAATGCATCTTAAAGAACTAGAAAAGCAAAGCAAACCAAACCCAAAATTAGTAGAAAAAAATAATAAAGATCAGAGCATGAATAAATAAAATGAAAATGAAAAAAATTACAAAGGATCAATAAAACAAAAAGCTAGGGTTTTCTAATGTTAAACAAAATTGACAGACCTTTATCCAGACTAATAAATAAGATCCAAATAAAAAAAATGAGAAAGAAAAAAGAGGCATTAAATCTGGCATTGCAGAAATTCAAAGGATCATTTGTGGCTACCATGGGGAACTATATGCCAATAAACTGGAAAATCTAGAAGTTCACAAATTCCTGGATATATACAACCTACCAAGATTGAACCAGGAAGAAATCCAAAACCTGAACAAATCATTAACAAGTAATGAGATCAAAGCTGTAATAAAAAGTGTCCCAGTAGAGAAAAGCCTGTAACCTGATGGTTTCACTGCTGAATTCTACCAAACATTTAAAGAATAACTTATACCAATCCTACTCAAACTATTCCAGAAAATAGAGGAAGAAGGAGCGCTTCCAAACTCTTTCTATGAGGCCAGTATTACCTTGACACAAAAACCAGAAAAAGATGCATCAAAAAAAGAAAATGACAGGCCAATATCCGTGATGAACATTGATGCAAAAATCCTCAACAAAATACTAGCAAACCAAATTTAGCAATACATTAGAAAGAGCATTCATTATGACAAAGTGTAATTTATCAACCATGGATGGTTCAACATATGCAAATTAGTCAATGTAATACATCAGATCAACAGAATAAAGAATAAAACCATATGATCATTTAAATTGATGCTGAAAAAGCATTTGATAAAATTTAATATTTCTTTATCATAAAAACCTTCAAAAAACTGAGGCTAGAAGGAACACATCTCAATGTAATAAAATCCATATACAGCAGACTGTCAGCTAGTATCATACTGAATGGGGAAAAACTGAAAGCCTTTCCTCTAAGATCTGGAACGTTATGAGGAAACAATCAACAAAGTGAAAAGAGAACCCACAAAATGAGAGAAAATATTTGCAAACAACCCCTCTGACAAGGATTAATAACCAGAATATATGAGTTCAAACAACACTATAGAAAAAAAAAATCTAATAATCTGATCAAAAAATGGGCAAAATATTTGAATACACCTTTCTCAAAAGAAGACATACAAATGGCAAACGGGCATATGAAAAGATGTTCAACATCATCAATCATCAGAGAAATGCAAATAGAAACTATGATGAGATATCATCTCACCCCAGTTAAAATGGCTTATATCCAAAAGACAGGCAATAACAAATGCTGGTGAGGATATGGAGAAAAGGGAATTATTGTACACTGTTGGTGGGAATGTAAATTAGTATAATCACTATGGAGAACAGTTTGGAAGTGCCTCAAAAAACTAAAAATTGAGCTATCATATGATCCAGCAATACCACTTCTAGGTATATACTCCAAAGAAAGGAAATCAGTATATTGAAGAGATATCTGTACTCTTATGTTTGTTGCAGCACTGCTTACATTAGCTAAGATTTAGAAGCAACCCAAGTGCCTATCAGTAGATGAATGGATAAAGAAAATGTGGTACATATACACAATGGAGTACCATTCAGCCATAGAAAAGAATGAGATCATCATTTGCAGAACACGGATGGAACTGGAGATCATTATGTTAAATGAAATAAGCCAGGTACAGAGAAAATAAACATTGCATGTTCTCACTTATTTGTAGGATCTAAAAATCAAAACAATTGAATTCATGGACATAGAGTAGAAGGATGGTTACCACAGGCTGGAAAGTGTAGCAAGAGGCTGGGAGGGTGGAGGTGGAGATGGCTAATTAGTACAAAAAATATATATATACAAAGAATGAATAAGACCTACTATATGATAGCACAATAGAATGTCTATAATCAATAACAATTTAATTGTATATTTTAAAATAAAGAGTACAATTGGCTTGTTCATAAGTCAAAGGGTAAGTCAAAGGACAAATGCTTGAGGGGATGGACACCCCATTCTCCATGATGTGCTTATTTCAAATTGCATACTTATATCAAAACATCTTATGTACTCCATACATATAGGCACCTACTGTATACCCACACAAATGAAAACTAAAAAAAAAAAATTTAAGAGGACTTAAATTCAATATTCACCAAGAAGTAATACGTGCTTCTGATTTTTTTTAAAGAGAAAGTATCAGCTAAATGAATGTGCTAATGGATTATGCTTAATGGAAACAGCACTGCTGAGCCTCAGTTTTTTCATCTTCGAAATGAACTTGATTTAATCCCAGTCCATTATCAAATTTGCTTTTCAAATATTTCCATTTAAGAACTTTAAGGAGCACAGGAAAATAAATATTTCCTGGGAGAACCAGAAGTACTGTGCATCCAACCTATTTTCTTCTTTTGGGAGGAGGTACATATGATAATTTAATACATTCATATAATTTGTAAAGAACAAATCAGTGTACCTGGGATATCTATCGCCTTAAATATTAGTCTTTTATTTGTGTTAGAAACATTCCCTATCTATTTTCTAAAATTGCTTGCATTTTACTTCCCACAATTTTTGGAATCTCCTAGTTCTAGTCTATAAAATGTCAGTGTTTACTTTAACAAAAAAAATGTAAACTCCTGGATTTTTTTTAGAGCAAAGATACCATCAAATCCTAAAAAGCAGCTAAATTCTATTCTTTGGCAAGTGAATTTTAACAAGCATACATCATGTCAATCCCTTCTAAAACAAGGATACCTTAAAAACAAACCAAGGTCTAAGGATAGAAGTTAGGGGGTTCAAAGCCCCCAAGAAAATAAAAATGTCTTGGGCTCACAAAGGGCATGGAAATGGGTCATCCATCCTTTCACCATTATACATCAAATCCCAAGCAGATTCCCCCTGCCTGTCCAGGAAATAAAGGACCCCCAACCTTGGGGAAAAGCTCAGAGTTGGGGACCCAGAGAACCAGGGACCAAGTGTTCTCCTCTGCACTCTTCCCCCACATCACAAAGCTTCAGACGATTTCAGTTGCCAAACATAGCATCTCACTTGCCTTCCTCACATGGCTCCCCTACCCACCACCACCACCATCACCACTACCACCACTCCCTTCCCACGGCCCACCACCACAACCAGTTTGGAAGGCTTATTTTTAAACATGCAATAGCAATGCCAAATGCAAAGAAACTCATCACATTTGATTTTTTTTCAAGTCACCTCACAAATATCCTCTTTAAAGCATAAGGAAAACACTCGGAGACATAAATTCCTGCTTAAAATTGTCCTCCGTGATAGCTTTCTATTTTGCCACAAACACATGGAAAGTATGTCCCAGTGCTCTCAGTGCTTTAGTCAATAGTCATCGTATGAATTTCAATTGTAAAAAAAGTTGACCAGTGTTTAAAAATGTGTTTTAATTATATTTTCATGAATTCCAAGAAGAACATCATCACAGTTAATGTTACAAAAACGAACAAACAAACAAACAAAAAACAACAACAAAAAAACCCCACCAAAACAAAGAGGGACATCTGAACATGCAATAAAAATGAATTCACAGTGAAAATAATGCATGTCAGTACTAAAATAGAGTTGCTTCATTCCCTGAAGGAAAAAGGTTTCTTCTAATTATCTATTAACTTGAATTTTATTATGAGAAAATATTTTTTGAAAGCTTTGGGGAGGTTTTCAATTTGTGCTACTATTATCATTAGAGTCTGATGGAAGTCCCTCATTCTGAAAGCCATTGTTTGCAGTCTATAATTCAATCAGATAATTCAAAAGTACAAGTAGTTTGGCAACTGGCTTCTTGTTACATACAAAGCCATTAGCAAAAATATGTAACAAAATGTATGTAAAACAAACAATTTTGTCCTTATATACAAAAGACGGCCTTCCTCACACTCTTGTAGCCTATTCCAAAAAGTGGGGAGGGCATAGGGAACAGCTATCTATCCCCTTTAAACTCTCATTATGGGTGGGATGAGAACATCCTAAAAGGCCAGGTAACTATTTTTAAGTTTTTAAAAACTGAGTTATAAAAATGCATCTGGAGGCCAGGTGCGGTGGCTCATGCCTGTAATCCTAGGACTTTGGGAGGCCGAGGGAGGTGAGTCATGAGGTCAGGAATTCAAGACCAGCCTGGCCAACATGGTGAAACCTTGTCTCTACTAAAAAAAAAGTACAAAAAATTAGCTTGGTGTGGTGGTGGGTGCCTGTGATCCCAGCTGCTCGGGAGGCTGAGGCAGGAGAATTGCTTGAACCCGGGAGGTGGAGGTTGCAGTGAGCCAAGATTGCACCACTGCACTCCAGGCTGGGTGACAGAGTTGAGACTCCATGTCAAAAAAGAAAATGCATCTGGACTTCTCAACAAAGAGGGAAACATAGGAAAAATGATAACAGATTAAAGTACAGAATTCATCCCTTTGTTGTTTGCAAAGTCTCTTAACTCAACGGTTAGAGAGTAAAAATGACTACATTTGTGACTGCAATCTGAGGACACAGTAAAGGACATCTTGGTGAAACATACACACATTATAACCCGAGCTGCTCAGGAGTTTCACATCTAGGGCATGCACATATGTCATACTGATACAGTTTACAACACCTCAGAGGAGAAAGATCATAACAGGTACATGGGAAGTGTCACCAAATCTATATACAAACACATTAACAGGGAGAACACACGAAGTCAGAGGGAGACCCAAATGCAAGTTTAAAAATACATCTGAAAATCATTCCCAAGCCAAGGAACTTATGTACTGAAAACTGAAAATTCTGACATTCTACGGAATACCTTGTAAACCTTAAGAATGCAGTTTTACATAATTCACAGTCTCAAAAGAAAATAAATTTCTGGTTTATCATCATTACTTGGCTCAGTCTGCAAAACAGAATTATCTGAACAAAATTGGTCAATGTAGCCATAGCGAAGGGCCGTGCATGCCCCCTCTGGGATGCCCCGGCTTTCAAGGCCACCCCCTTTCGTGTTCCTCAGGTAGCCTGCGATGTAGGAGCCAGTGGAGTGGCGATTCACCGCAGGGGTGGGTGCTGAGGGTTTGTTTCTAAGAATCACTCCTCCTCCATTGCTGGGGTTTGGAACTTTCTGCTTGTTGGCTTCCTGTTTCTCCTTGGCACGACTAGCAATATTGCGCACTCTGCTCTGACTTCTGGATGACAACTTTCTGACCAGTGCCCGGGGGAGCTGATTGGCATCCTGCTTTGAATATAGCACTTGGCAGTTGTCTTCCTGGTCAAAGGACACAAGCTTCCGAAGCTGCTCCGTCAGGGCATCTATAGGCTCTAACGACTTTGTCTTCACAGTCATGCCCTTCTTGTCTCTAATGCCAGTTGTAACAAAACTCTTACTAATACACTGGTACTTGCTCTCAAAATTGCAGGCAATGTCCTCTGATGTTAAGTCCCCTAGACTTTTGGATTTGCAAGGACTGGGCAGTTTCAGAGCAGGCAAAGGAAGATGTGTCAATTGCTTGGGTACAGGGGCATGCACATCTTGAGCACTAGACTGCTGGGGCACACAGGTCTGGAACATTTTTGCATCTGAATTTGAGAGATGGTTATGCACAAAGTCAGCACCCTGATATGCTAGGTAAGAAATACGTTGAGTTTTGACATCTTGAATATTGTTGAATATTTCAGGGACAGAAGGGTGGAGGGTCTCTTTACAGTAGCCGTTTCTCAAACCTCTCTGCAAGTGTTCTACCACATCCTGACTGTACTTCAGTTTTAAAGGAGAAGCAAGTTGACTTGTGCCCTCTCTTTTATATTCACAAGTTGTTAGAGAAAGATTTTCTGATTCTCCATCAATTTCCACAAGGCTGCTCTCCCCCGAATTGAAACAGAGAGTGGGATCAGGTATTACAGCCTCCAGGGTCAAATCAGGGTAAGAGGCTGGGCTGCAGCTCTTCAGTGTTTCCCGGTCTTCTCCCTTAGTAGGACTTTTTGGTAACCAGCCATGAGAAGTATTAGGGGACCCAGGCAGGCTGCTCTCTACGGCCCCTGTCTTGGCCTTACTAGAAAGGTCATCATCTGGTTTGGTTTTAGAGATGGGAGTGCAGGTAGTTTCATAAACTGTATATGTTGCATGTTTGGTGGTTTCAGGACTCGAGAGTGTTATCAGCTCCGGAGATGAGCACAGGAGGGAAGACTTGGATTTTCCCTTGGAAAAACCATGCTTGATGGGTATTTTTAGGCCCAGGCTAGGCAGGGGACAATGGTCTGACATCACACTGGTATTTTGAAGATGAGACACAACTGTGATAGCTGGATCGTTGGTCTCGTCAAGCTGGCCAATCAGGGCTGAGATGGAACTGCCTGGCTCATTCTCATTTGTTAAAGTGACATTGTCAATAAGATGGGAAATTTCACTCTCCTGCAGAATTGCAGTTGAATGTAGGTCAGGTATGTCAGAGCAGAGCACGGAGACGTCTGACAAAGAAAAGGATGTTGCAGCTCGGCCCTTACCTCCACTACCTTCCATGTTCTTAATTTCTAGGTTGCTATGAGAAAGGATGCTTCCTGACAAGATGGTTTTCCCTTCCACAAAGCCCTCGGCATTCCCCTTTTCCTTGATTTTCACACCATGCGGATCTTGTGTGGGGTTAACTACAGGATCAGGAGCCAAATGCTGCCTTGGGGAGAGAGACTTGTTGGGACAGGGATTTTCCTGGCAATCACCTGTGGCATTTGATGCAGTTCTCCCATCCTTAGGCCTTGACATGCCCAACTGTTCTCCTGTGACTGACATGTGGGCAGTAGATACAATGGCATCCTCTTGGCTGGTATCTTTGTGGAGAAGAGCACTGAAGGAGGAAGATAACTTTTTGTTGAAATTTAGAAAATGTGGATCTTTAATACTTGCTTTCCCTTTCCTTCTGCCATCTTTATCCTCTGCTGAAGGAAACAAACAACATTTTAGATGACATGTATCAGTTTATGTAGGACCTGCAAACACTCATGTTTTCTTCAGACAGACAAATGGAGAATGTAAATCTGTTACACTGTGACAGAATATAATTATGGATTGCATAGGTTTGCAACGAAGTGTCTGTGTGATGAATAAATGGTAAAATATAGTTATAGGAATTTCACTGAAGCTTCCCTTTGAGTATCTATTACATCTGTAAAGGATGTAATATTCATTGCCAAAAAAATGTCAATGAGTTACCATACTTTTACAGTGAGGATTACCTTACGTTGTTTCCTATTCAGATTTGTACTACACAGAAGCATGGCAATAAAAACAGAACAAGACAGCTCTGTTAAACAAAGCATTGTGGTACCTGTAAGCAAGATACTATAAGCTTTCAGTTATACATGTATTAGTTAAAAAAAAAAAAGAAGAAGAAGAAAAACATAAATAACATCATTTTTAAAACATTTTGGCAGCATATTTCATTTAATCAGTTAGTTTCTAAAATAATTGGAAGGTGTGACAAATGCATTAAAATATCAATATCTGTTGATTTAAAATGTAAAGAAAATAATTGGCTGTCAATTCCATGTCATTGCTAATATCTAATTTTTGGTTAATCATATATTTCTTTTTAATATGCAAATTTCATATTGCATCTTTTCCTAAAAGTGGCAGTGAGTTGTCAGGCACAGTAAAGGTAAATCGTGAAAACACAATTCACATAATTTGGGATATCCCATCATGGTTAGCATACTGCTAGGAGAGTATAAGGTATTCAATTCTTGATCAGATTATTTTAATAATACTTTCAGAGTCATCCTGTATAAGAAAAAAGAATTTGTTTAACTTATTAGTTTCCAAACTAAAAATATTCATCATAAAAATTTTGAAAACCTCAAAGAATTATAAAGGAAAAATTAAATACCATATGATGTTATCACTGAGACAGTCACTGTAAGCTTTTGCAGAAGAACAGAATAATGTATAGAATTTTGTATTCTGCTTTTTCTGTGCTTAATGGTTTTTTCTGTAATATAACTATGTATTTTTTTATATTTACCAAAAGTCATGTATATTATATTTATAACATACATGACTAATTTATATAACTGTTTTTTTTAAAGTAGAAAAGAAACATCACCTCAAAATTGCTTTCTAACTCACCTTAATGGTATTAACATCTTATTTGTGGCATTAACAGGATAGAACCAACTTCTATTGAATACAGCTTTATTTTTCCCAAAGATGGGGTTTTGAAATACATTTTAAGGCACATATTTTATCTCTTCTGTGACACTCCTCTTAGCAAAATTTCAAGTTTTTAAATGTTCTTTTTCTCCTTCAAATAAACCATTCAAGAATATCTTATAACAAAAATCAATACAAGTAAAACGGTGTTCGTGAGAAAAGAAATCACTGAAAATAGAACATTTGATAAAAGATAAATGAACAATTTTGCTAAAGGAAATCAATACCACATTTTACTTGTCTGAGGTGATTCTGATTTAATTAAAATGTATTTGGTGCATAGGCATCAAATGGACATAGTTTTGGCACTTAAATTTACCCCCAGGTAGGATGGGATGGGAGTCACCGACATCACTCAAAAGCTCTCTGCCACACTTCAAGGCAGTCCTCACTCTTTATTGTGCTCACAATATGAGTCAATGATACACTCAAATTAAGGAAAAAGACAGGCAGCACCTGGTTCCTATGTTTGTAGAGCCCATAACCACACTGAAGCTGCAGACATGCCTCCATCCCTGCCAGCATCTAAGGATCAGGGAAGAGAGGCCATAGAAAAACACTGCCTGAGCCACCTTTTGAGAAAAAAAAGATTTGCTTGTTTTTGAAAAAGGTGGCTTGTTTTCAACATCTGGCTTTCTTTCTCCATAAACATTTCCAATCATCGAAAGATCATATGGTAAGAAAAGTAATACAACCATATTCACCCTCAGAACAATCAGTAAATATGGCACTCATTTGGAAAACCAATATTTTGAATCCTATTTTGCAGGTTTCACCTTCCTCTCTGCACCATCACATCTAATGGCTCCCCTATCCCTCACTGTCAATTTCTGACGTTGATACTATAAAGCTCTTGGTGAGGAGAAAATGGATCTACCTGGCCCCTAAAGTTTGAAATCTTCTGGTCTAGAAGATTACATTAAAAATTATTGATTTTTCAGTATATTTTACTTTGAGTACAGAATGTCAACCACTTCATAATGGTAATCAGGGATTGAAATGCAGCCTAGAAGGGTTTAGTCTTAGAGAAACTTAAAGCATCTTACCCAGAGAGTTTTCTTTTCCTTCAACGTCTTTTGCTGTTTCTGATAAGGGCAGCGACAAAGCTCCCAGAAGGTTTCTGTCAATGGGCATAGAGACAGGGCGTGCTTGCAAACTACGTGTGGTCCTCCTCAGCACGCCATCTTGATCTCTTGTGGCCTCAGACACAGAATCCTTTATCTCCACCATTTCTTGGAAGCCCATTTTGCTCTTTTTCCTGCCTTTGGCCGGGGCGCTCGCCGTGCGTCGCAGAATTCTATCTCCAATCGATCGTTTCCGTACATAATGGGAATTGTTTTCTGAAGAACTGTGCCTAGGATTCTTATTGAACAGTCCCTTCAGACCCTGGAGTTGTCTGTTCTGAAGACACAAAATGACCAACCACAAGTTAAGAAAATGCCATCATGTCAACAATTTGCCTTTAAAATGACAGCTCCATGAAAAATGAATATAAACCGAAATTGTACAGCCATTGAAATATATTCAAACCAAGAAAGCAGCAGCTCACAGCATGTTTGCACAACTTCATGCACATCTTATCAACCTTACTTTGCAAGGACTTCAGCCTTCCATTCTTACATCAAGCTTTCCCAGAAGTTTCCTACTCAGAGATGACAAAGTGGTAGGAAAAATCTCCACAACTAACAGACTGCTACAAACTTCAGGCGCCTTAAAGCAACAGATGCATGTTTCAAAGTGGTAAGCAGGAAAATGGAGTGATATGAAAAAGCATGCTGCCATAACCACTTAAAAAGAAATATGCCGGCCAGAATAAAGCACCATGCTGAGAAACTACCTTTGTAGCTCCTAGAAAGTGCAATATTGTATAACTGGGGTTGAGTATTAAAGGGCTCCACTGCAAAGGAAAAAACAAACACAAAAAAACACAATTGGGGCTCACTGAAGAAGGTGGCACAGGTAAACACAAAAGAAAAAATGTATACATGTCTATAAACCCTTTCTCCTACTTTTGGGGATTTTCAGTCTTACGCTTATTCATTGTTCAACCAATACCACTACACTGTGATGTGTGGATCCCAACCCGAACCCATCTTGAAAGGAATATATAATATGACTCATGAATGGACATTTACTTAGGAGAGAGGATAGAGGTGATATAGAACACATTCAGATTTTAATTATTTCTGGCTCAAGTTTTAAACAAATTCAGAATTTAATTGTTTCCCTCAACATGATAAATGCTAGAGATAATTTGTAGTTAACCTGGGATTCCTAGTATTCAAGAATCATTTTTGAATTATTTATATTTGTGGCGACTAGGGCGAGAGGCAAGATCCCAAAATGCGGCACAAACAGAAGTTCAGAACTAAACACAGAAAGTTATGGTATAAAACTTCACCAGTCTTAGAAATTAAGATCCTCACACCCACACTTCCATGCCCTTGCTGACTGATATGAAAATAAACATTATATTCCCCAATTTAGCTTGAAATGGTCCATTCCTTATTAATTGGATTGCAGTCATAATAACATTAATATTAGCCAATATTTCTGAGGATTTACTATGTACCAGGCAGCTTTCCAAAGATAAGGTCTATATTTATTTATGAGGTTGGTACTATTTTTAGCCCATATTCACAAATGAGAAAGCTTCCAGCTAGACAGATTTTCTGATAAAGAGCACTGGACATTTCCAGGCCCCATTCAATGCTTTAACAGTCCCTCCAAATCCCATGTGGTCCTGAAAATTCATACCAGTAGCCAAGTCCCCAATTACTTGACATGACCAGAGGACAACCTATTGATCTGTAAACCTCAAAAATGAGTTCTATAACCAAGACAACAGCATCAGGAAAGAAACAGAATATATTTTTTGTGGTCTCCTTTTCAGCCCCATAGGTAGCTTTAAAATTCATTCACAATTTTTAGATTTTCAGTTAAAAACAACAGTACTATATAAATGTGGCTTGCCTAGAAGCAGCTGGGATCATAGCCCAGTAAGTACAGGTAATTCGTCAACCATCTGAGACACTACATTTCCCACTGAGGCCAGCGGAGTCTTTTTAAGGATTAATATAAAATTCAATGTTTAGTTATATTTTCATTGTTTTAACCAAACAAATTGTTGCCTGAGAGAATAATAGTTTTCTCAATTCTATTAAGCCCAGAGAGGGCCCCAGTATAGAAGAAATGGGTACACACCCTTAAACAGTGAAAAGTACAGGTGGATCAGGACATGACTGGAATAGCAGACGGAGCTTGCTAGGCTCCCTTATAGTCTTTGGTTCAAGAACAGTTTGTCAAAATTTACATTCCTATTATGCAACTAATCAGTAGCATTGTTGGGGACCGTATTAGTGTATGTGACTTTAAACCCTATGGTCTTTCTCACCTTTCCATAGATTTCATTGATGGTTATGTGTACAAATATAGATGCTTCTGTCAGTCCTTCCAAATAGACATGTCGGTAACCTGATAAAAGAAAAGAGAGTCATTTCTTCTTAACTGAACTTGCATTTGGCTTTCCCACGGGTGCAATAAAATTAAGTATCTGACTTGACTATAGTTTTGTTTTTGTTTTTGAGACAGAGTTTTGTTCTGTCACCCAGGCTGGAATGCAGTGGCATGAACTCGGCTCACAGCAACCTCCGACTCCTGGGTTCAAGTGATTCCCCTGCCTCAGCCTCCTGAGTAGCTGGGATTACAGGTGCTCACCACCACACCTGGCTAATTTTTGTATTTTTAGTAGAGACAGGGTTTTGCCATGTTACCCAGGCTGATCTTGAACTCCTGGCCTTAACTGATTCACCCACCTCGGCTTCCCAAAGTACTGGGATTACAGGTGTGACCCACTGCACATTTTTACAAAGCTTGTTAAAAGTCACATGTATCATATGACATATATTTTATATATCACATATATTATTATGTAAGTAACATATCATGTATTACATCTTCCAGAGAAAAAGGAATGGCCAGTCTAGAGAGAAAAGGCCAGCTCATACCTACCAGGCACTAAGCTGCTGAAGGTCACGGTTCTTTGTCCAACAAAATCTCGTCCAATGGGATCATGATCCCACACAAGGAACCTAACCAAAGCGATTTCTGGCATGTGTACTGTAAATGTCAGTGTTTCTTCCCACACAGGGTTAAATCCTCAGAGAAATAGGGAAAGAAAAATCAGAAAAGCAAACAACTTGGCTGAAAATGAGTTGGCTGCAACACATCCAAAGCACATGGTGAAAATTGCTTGCAATGGTTATTAAACTCATAAAGACAACTAAGCCACTCCAGGATGCCTTACTGGAATAAAGTCTTGAAATTTACCCCCTTGCTAGAAAATAATTGGTAAGAAAATTGCCTGTAAATTATCATATCAATTCTATTAATCTTTGATGCCTAACAGTGTTATAGAGCTTTTTAGTATTCAGAATGCTTCAATAAGTTTGAAACTTATCAATAGTAGTGATCTAAGAACAATGTTTTAGCAAAAACAATAAAGAATGATATCCTCTCCCAACAGAATTATGCTTCTCTGACACCAAAAATTCTGCTACTGTAATAACCACCAACAACCATTTTATAAAGTGCTTTTGCAGATTTCAACTACTATTGTACATATATCATCATATTTCTTATAGCAATTCTCTAAGAGTTTTAGAGGATTTTTAGAGTTTTTAGAGTTGAGCAGGTTTTTCGTTTTTGTTTCTTTTTTTTAAAATATATAACTGACTTTCAAAAAACATATTACTTTCAAAAACTATACAAGTAACATTCATATTTTAAAGTAGGAAATATCAGTATTTATAAGACATTTTGTAGTTGAGAAAATTGATGTTCATAGACAATAATGTTCACAAGGCCTTATAGTTAGTAACAGGGTCAAATTGGACTGTGCACTATTGATTCCAGTATCTCCTCATGAAGCAAGACCTTACTGCATGAATGATGTCATATTTTCAGAGCTACTGAAAAATAAGTCAAAAACATATAATTCATCTCAAATACAAAAACGCAAAAATACCTTTACTTGGTAAAATTCTCTCCAGTAAAATAACTATAAAAGTTGTTAAAAAGTCAAGTACTCTGTAAGTTTGTTTTTTCTTTCTAAAAAATGAAAATAAATTTTTTAAAATATATGCATTTAGGAGGTATTAACCACTTAACCTAATAAAAAGCTTCAAGCTAATGAAATAATTATGAGCTGAAAAATCACTGAGAGTCCCCTCTTGAATAAAAGAAGATCTCTTTGTTGACTAAGTGATGACCTCTCAATTATTTCTGAGACTAAAACAGAATAGTCTATTGAACATTAAATGTAATTTAAGAAGGTTGTTTTCTATGTGAATGTTTTTCCTAAGTTATAGGTTTGCCCTACTTGGGAATTCTAGTGTTCCTTCAGGGACTCCCTATGAACCCCTAATTTCTCAAATTAATGATTATGCTTCAAATGTATTTTACATTATTAATGACAAGAGATTGAGAAAAACAGGTATGCAATAATGTTTGTGAAATGTATGAACAAAGAAACTTCAAAAGATTAACAAGAAAAAGACATGAGGCTTGGGTAAAGAAAACTTTCTTTAAATTATGGCCAAAATATAAGAAGAATGCTACCCCTCCAATCGTATGTAAATATTCAAGAAGTAAACTCGGCAGACTATATTGTGCTTGCCTTTAGAGTTTTACATGCTCCAGAAAAAGTGAGAAATTACCAAGACACATAGGCTTCACAATGGAGCTTTGAGAAAATTCATGTCATAAAAATACAATATAAAAATATAATGGAGTCACTTCCTCAGTGAAATTTTTAACCCAGTTCTTTAAAATTTCATTTACTAGAAAAAAAAAATAGCTTCAAAAGCAAAAGTCTGGAGGGCCTAGATTACAACACCATCAAAATATACCATGCATCAATCCCACAGTTACTTAGTTTCATGTGTTGAAAAGCTTTTAACATAAACTCAATGGCAGTTATGGATTTTAGAGATTTCTTGCTCTTCTACATAGATGCCTTTTTTAGTGTAAATTCTATTTCTAGACCATCTTCATTAAAAGTAAACACAGATTATCATCTTACCATTGTCATCCACCACACGGGTTTGATCTTTACAACAATCTACTGGCAATCCAATAATTTCAACTTCAACAAAAGGGTCAATGATCTATTAAATAAAGAGAAAGTATGATAGTACTATTACAAATAATATATTTCTATACATAGTTCATTAATCTGAGAATATTAACCAAAATGTCTACATTTCAACAGCAACTGATTTTATAAAGTGCTTAGTAAGAAAAAGAAATGGTACTAGGCATGGTGGATTCACATATGTGAGACAAGTATAAGACATATTAAATTACTATTTGCTAGTATTTACTAATGCCAACAAACTACCTAATGAACCTACAATTTTAGTTCAGGGCAAATACCCAACAGAACTGAGATGTTTTGCCCATGCACAAATGCTCAAAGCAGCAATATTTATAATAGCCAAACACTGGAAACAACCAAACTTTCTATCATGAGTAGGATGGATAATATGCACTTTTTGTTTTTTGTTATTTTGTTTTTTGAGATAGGGTCTCACTCTGTCTCCCAGGCTGGAGTGCAGTGGTGTGATCTTAGCTCACAGTAGCCTTTAGCTGGGACAATAGGCTCATGCCACCATAGCTGGCTAATTTTTGTATTTTTTTGTAGAGATGTGGTTTTGCCATGTTGTCCAGGCTGGTCTCAAATGCCTGAGCTCAAACAATCCACCCACCTCAACCTTCCAAAGTGCTGGGATTTTAAATGTGAGCCACTGTGCCCGGTCAGAAATATGCATTTAATGAATACTCTCAACAATGAAAAAAAAGTTCTGCTATATAATAATGTTGAGCAAGCCAGACATAAAAGAGTACCTACTCTAAGAGTCCATTTATATAAAGTTTAGGAATAGACAAAACTTGTCTGCTGTGATAGGGGTTGGTGTTTTCTATGGGAGGCAGCTGGAAGGGCAGTATTGACTGGGAAGGTGGACAGGAGCCTTCTAGGGATTCTGAATATGCTCTGTCTTGATCTGGGTGGCATAATAATTAATCAAGTTATCCATGTTTGATTTGTATACTTTAACTCCCATCCTATCCTCTAGCGGGAGGGATATTGTCTTGTTGATCATCTGTTGACTCTTTTTGTGGTGCCAGTTCTGGGCGATGAATAAGGAAGGAATAAAAACCCAAAGAATCTAGAAAAAGCTGATCTAAGAAAGTCTAAAGCAGTGAAAGCAGAGTTCTGCGCTTTTACACTGCTGGTGGGAGTGTAAAGTAGTTCAGCCACTGTGGAAGACTGTATGGTGATTCCCCAAGGATCTAGAACTAGAAATACCATTTGGCCCAGCAATCCCATTACTGGGTATATACCCAAAGAATTATAAATCATTCTGTTGTAAAGATACATGCAGATGTATGTTTATTGCGGAACTGTACACAATAGCAAAGACTTGGAACCAACTTAAATGCCCATCAATGATAGACGGGATAAAGAAAATGTGGCACATATTGGCACCAGACAAGGATGCCCGCTCTCACCACTGCTATTCAATATAGTATTAGAAGTTCTAGCCAGAGCAATCAGACAAGAAAAAGAAATAAAGGGTATTCAAATAGGAAAGGAGGAAGTCAAATTGTCTCTATTTGCAGACGACATGATTGTATATCTAGAAGACCCCATCGTCTCAGCACCAAACCTCCTGAAACTGATAAGCAAGTTCAGCAAAGTCTCAGGATACAAAATCAATGTGCAAAAATCACATGCATTCCTATACACCAATAACAGACTTAAAGAGAGCCAAATCAAGAACAAACTTACATTCACAATTGCCACAAAGAGAATAAAATACCTAGGAATACAACTAACAAGGAACGTAAAGGACCTCTTCAAGGAGAACTACAAGCCACTGCTCAACGAAATAAGAGAGGACACACACAGATGGAGAAACATTCCATGTTCATGGTTAGGAAGAATCAATATCGTGAAAATGGCCATACTGCCCAAAGTAATTTACAGATTCAATGCTATCCCCATCAAGCTACCAATGACCTTCTTTGCAGAACTGGAAAAAAACACCTTAAACTTCATATGGAACCAAAAGAGAGCCCGCATAGCCAAGTCAATTCTAAGGAAAAAGAACAAAGCGGGAGGCATCACACTACCGGACTTCAAACTATACTACAAGGCTACAGTAATCAAAACAGCATGGTACTGGTACCAAAACAGAGATATAGACCAATGGAACAGAACAGAGGTCTTGGAGGCAACACAACATATCTACAACCATCTGATCTTTGACTAACCAGACAAAAACAAGCAATGGGGAAAGGATTCCCTGTTTAATAAATGGTGTTGGGAAAGCTGGCTAGCCCTGTGCAGAAAGCAGAAACTGGACCCCTTCCTGACACCTTACACTAAAATTAACTCCAGATGGATTAAAGACTTAAACATACGACCTAACACCATAAAAACCCTAGAAGAAAATCTAGGCAAAACCATTCAGAACATAGGTGTAGGCAAGGACTTCATGACCAAAACACCAAAAGCATTGACAACAAAAGCCAAAATAGACAAATGGGACCTAATCAAACTCCACAGCTTCTGCACAACAAAAGAAACAGGCATTAGAGT